AAGTACAAGTACTTGTGAAAATGCCCTGTATCTGCACCGATACTAGTATCGGTTTCGATGCATCCCTAGTAAAATTTCCACTATTTGATCACATTCAGTGGCTATAGTATTTACCCCCTTGGCATTTTTCCTATTTTGGCCCCAGAGTCTGCATCACTGAGCAAGAGGCACCATGAAGACCAAGCAGCTTGCCAAACAGGTTAGGGACAAAGTTGTAGAGAAGTACAGATCAAGGTTGGGTTATAAAAATAATCAAACTTTGAACACCACTCAGAGCACTATTAAATACATTATTAAGAATGGAAAGAATATGTCACCACAACAAACCTGCCTAGATAGGGCCACCCACCAAAACTCACAGAACAGGCAAGGAGGCCATTAATCAGAGAAGCAACAAAGAGACCAAAGATAACCCTGAGAGAGCTGCAAAGCTCCACAGCGGAGATTGGGGTATCTGTCCATAGGACCACTTTAAGCCTTACATTCCACAGAGCTGGCCTTCATGGAAGAGTGGCCAGAAAAAAGCCATTGCTTACAAAAAAATAAGCAAACACGTTTGCTGCTCACCAAAAGGCATACCAAACATACGAAAGAAGGTAATCTAGTCAGATGAGAATAAAATTGATCTTTTAGGCCTTCAAGAAAAACTGTATGTCTGGCGCAAACCGAAGACCTCTAATCAACCTGAGAACACCTTCCCCACAGAGGATCATGGTGGCGGCAGCATCATGCTGTGGGAATGTTTTTCATCAGCAGGAACTGGCAAACAGGTCAAATTTGAAGGAATGATGGATGGCATTAAATACAGGGAAATTCTTCAGGGAAACCTGTTTCAGTCTGCCTGGGATTTCACACTGGGATGTAGATTCACCTTCCAGCGGGACAATTACCCTAAACATACTGCTAAAGGAACACTCGAGTAGTTTAACAGGAAACATTTACAGGTGAAACTCGAATAATTAGAATATCGTGCAAAAGTAATTGCAGTAAGTGCTGCAAAAGGGGCCCAAACCAAGTACTGAGTACATATGCATGCTTGTACTTTTCAGAGGTCCGATATTGTTCTATGTACAATCCTTGTTTTATTGATTGCATGTAATAATCTACTTTTTTGAGGTTGTGGATTTGGGGTTCTTTGGGTTTTCATGAGCTGTAAGCCATAATCATCACAATTATGACAAATCACGGCTTGAATTATCTTGCTTTGCATGTAATGAGTCTATCTCATATATTAGTTTCACCTTTTAAGTTGCATTAGTGAAATAAATGAACTTTGCACGATATTCTAATTATTCGAGTTTCACCTGTATATGTCTTGGAATGGCCCAGTCCAGGGGTCAGCAACCTTGAACACTCAAAGAGCCATTTGGACCCGTTTCCCACAGAAAAGAAAACACCGGGAGCCACAAAACCCTTTTTACATCTAAAATGAAGATAACACATCATATATCGGTTTTTACCTTTTATGCTATGTAGAGTATGTATATAGGTATATGTGGGCTTAGTAACGCACTGGACTCTGGGCTTAACTGAGACCCTGCAGAGCACACCATAGATCCTGCACAGCCCATCCAAAACTCTCTATGGTGGGCTCCACAGGGCCTCAGGTGGGCTAGTCGCCGGGGTCCCTTTCCCTGTACCTCCTCCCAACGCCTCTTACCTGTTGCTGCTGGTGCCCGGCCTCCTCCACCCCCTCCCCTGTCACCTCTGCCATGCCGCCACTGGTACAGCTGATACTCATGTAAAAGGCCCCCCTCACATGGGTACTGGCCATGTCCCCCCTGATGGCGGTGTTCTATCAAAGTTTGTGACTACGTTACAATGTGTGACCGGTGACGTGGTCACACATTTCAATGTAATCCCGCCCAGTTTTTTGGCAGTGGAATGTGTGACCGCCAATAGGTGAAGCATTCCAGCGCTTTCTCAGCTGTTCTCGGCAGATCGGCATAGCAAATCTTATGTACAGGAGAACCGATCTGCCCTGGAACAGCTGATTGGTCCTGAAATGTCACTTGACTCTGCGACTGCGATCTCACAGTCCACCGCACTCACAAATTTGGATAGAAGTGACATTTCAGGACCGATCAGCTGTTCCAGGGCGGATCAGTTCTCCTGCACATAAGATTTGCAATGCTGATCTGCCCTGGAGAGGGAGCCACAGCAGGGGGATGAAAGAGCCACATGCGGCTCCGGAGCCGCAGGTTGCTGACCCCTGGCCCAGTCAAATCTCAGACCTCAATCCAATTGAGAATCTGTGGCATGACTGAATGATTGCTGTACACCAACGAAACCCATCAAACTTGAAGGAGCTGGAGCAGTTTTGCCTTGAAGAATGGGCAAAAATCCCAGTGGCTAGATGTGCTAAGCTTAAAGAGACGAAGCCCAAGAGACTTGCAGCTGTAATTGCTGCAAAAAGTATTTACTTGGGGGAGGGGGGTGAATTTAACCCTTATAACTCCAGTCTACTAACTAGTTCAAATGCATCAAGTCCACTAGATGTATTTGAACTATGACTTGTCTGCTGTCGGTGTGGTGTATTGGTTTAAATAATGCTCTTGATCAAGTTCATCTTGGATTTCCTTAAATCATTCCATACCAACAAAATCTCAACTTAATGACACTTGCTGACGTTTAACATGGCCCTCAGACCCTAGTTGGAAAGTTAGTTGTGACCTGTAGTTACTATTAAACAAAAAAAAATGTATTTGGTGTTCCTTTTTCTGAAGCTTTTTAAGTTTCCTTTCATTCAAGTCCCCTGCTTGATGCTATCCAGTTTCCTGTCCCTACCTATTTAAAAAAGAGACCCGCGTTGCTCTGGCTGCCCTTTGTGCTTCTTTTATCTGTTTTGCTAACTCCACTGCATGGTCTCCTGCCATTTTATGTTACACCATTAGATCTAGGTTTTAATACTCCAGTTTTATAACCTCCTCTTTTTTTAAATGTGTTGGTACACTACAACTAGCCATCTCTTAGAATAGTTTATCCCTGTTTACATCTCAGGAGCCTAGTATCACAATGTACTGCATTAATAGTGGAGGCTCTGCAAATGAAAACGATAGGATGCTATTTTATAGAATTGCTACTTTGTGTTTAATTTGTTCTGGGATATGCTGATGTTCCCTTTGGCCTAATCCTTCTAGTATACATGTTGTTTAGACTGAAGGCTCATTTCAGTGTAATGATTTTACTCCAGGCATATGTAATATATATATATATATTAGGTCCCAACTTTGTAAGGGTCTTGCTGGATCCTGGTCTTCATGTTATCGAATTATCTCATGAATCATGGGACTGCTTAAAGCATTTTGGAATAATTGCTAACTAAATTGCAAAACCAAATGGGCACTACTGTTTAATTCCCTAACAAATTATGATCTGTAGGTTATTTTGCGCAGGGAAACACACTTAAAATGGTCTAAACTGACAATTGCAAATCATATATAGGATAATAGGAGAGACTATTAAAATCCATTTCATTTTGCTGGGTCTTTTATGCTCTAGTAGTTCTGTGATTATGTGCAATTATATTTGAAGATATGAATGAACTGAACCAATTTTAATACTCCAAGCAATGAGAATTCAAAAGCAGATTTATTTGATTAAAGAACGTAGTTTGACGAGATTTAAAGTTTTGCACAATTAATAAATACAGAAGTAGGTTCTAATTGGTAAACAGGATTTCATGATTGCATATAGCTTGAAAACTGCTAGAGATTTGTTTTACTCGAGTGATTCTGAGTGAGGTTTATTTCTTGACACCATATCCATTTCCTCCTTGGCTTGAATATCCTCCTGATACCTGGCTTGTCATGCCTTGTGAACCAATTCCACCAGACACTTGGCTGATCTGGCCTTGTGAAGCCAATGCACCTTGTCCACCTGAGCTGCCATATGACTGGGCCATAAATCCTCCTTGGCCACCGGATCCACCTCCTTGTGTTTGGCAGGGATCAGGAACAGACCAGGAACCTAGTAAGGAAACATGCAATTAAGTTGTTTTACATTTTTGACTTTAGCAGCATTTTTACTTTGAATAAGTCTCTTAAAATGTACATAATATACCAGACTGTATGCTTATTTGGCTAGTGTTTGTATGCTTGAAAAACCGTAGTGAGTTATTAAACTAAATGTTTAATTTAAAGCCTATAGATATTATTTTCTGTACAGTTTTATATGGAGTAAAGAAGAGTTAAAACCTTTATCACATTTCTTTCTTGCTGTTTGTGTCCTGCTAAGAACACTTAAAGTACAACTCCGGGCAAAAATATTATTAACCCTTGCAGTGAGGCTACCCCCTCACTGGAAGGATTAACTGATTATTTATGTCTAGGGCAGAAAATCAAAGTTATACTCACCCAATCCTCAGAGCCAGCTTGATAGACAACTCTTTCCAGCATCTATCCCCCTGTGTTGCAGTGGTCTAAGGATCCTTGAGTCATCATGTCCAATACAAAGTATTGGATGTGAGGACGTTGAGGGATATTCCATCGCTGCAACGGAGGAGGAGAGGGGCTGGCGGGAGAGCTGTCAGCTCTGAGGATCAGGTAAGTATAATTATTTTATTTTTAGCCCTAGAGAAAAATGAGCAGTTAGTCCATGCAGTGTGGAGGTAGCCCCACTGCAAAGGTTAATAATAATCTTGCCCTTGGGTTTTGCTTTAAAACTGAAACTAGAATTAGAAGCCTGCAAGATGTTCATCGAATTTCATTAGAGTTATTAGAACTGTCTTCTTATGGTAGAGTGCTAAATGCTAATTGACCTTGAGAACTATTCAACGAGGAACAATGTTAGAATCCTGTACTTTGTTGAGGGTACCAAGGGTCTCAAACACGAAACATTTTTAGATGCTTTCATCCTGGAATTTCCCATTAAATCCCCAAGTTCCTTCCTTGTTTTCCCTGATACTTGACTGATCTGGCCCTGTGATTCAAACCCACCAGACGTTTGGCTGATCTGGCCTTGTGAAGCCAATGCACCTTGTCCACCTGAGCTGCCATATGACTGGGCCATAAATCCTCCTTGGCCACCGGATCCACCTCCTTGTGTTTGGCAGGGATCAGGAACAGACCAGGAACCTAGTAAGGAAACATGCAATTAATTTGTTTTAAATTTTTTACTTTATCAGCATTTTTACTTTGAATAAGTCCATAAAAATTTACAACATAAGATACCAGACTGTATGCTTATTTGGCCGGTGTTTGTTTGCTTGAATAACCGTAGTGAGTTATTAAATTAAACATATAATTTAAAGCCTATAGATTTTATTTTCTGTACAGTTTTATATGGCTTAAAGAAGAGTTAAAACCTTTATCACATCATTTCTTGCGGTTTGTGTCCTGCTAAGAACAATTAAAGTAGAACTCCGGGCAAAAGTATTATTAACCCTTGCAGTGATGCTACCCACGCACTGCAAGGGTTAGCTGCTTATTTATGTCTAGGGCAGAAAATCAAAGTTATACTCACCCAATCCTCAGAGCCAGCTTGTTAGACAGCTCTTTCCAGCATCTATCCCCCTGTGCTGCAGTGGTCTAAGGATCCTTGAGTCATCATGTCTAATAGAGTATTGGATGTGAGGACGTTGAGGGATATTCCATCGCTGCAGCAGAAGGGCAGAGGGGCTGGCGGGAGAGAGCTGCCAGCTCTGACGATCAGTTAAGTATAATTTTTTTATTTTCAGCTTTTCAGCCCTAGAGAGAAATGAGCAGTTAGCCCATGCAGTGTGGAGGTAGCCCCACTGCAAAGGTTAATAATAATTTTGCATGGGGTTCTTCTTTAAAACTGAAACTAGAATTAGAAGCCTGCAAGATGCTCATCAAATCTAATTAGTTATTAGAACTGTCTTCTCATGGTAGAGTGCTAAATGCTAATTGACCTTGAGAACTAAGAAATGAAGAACAATGTTAGAATCCTGTACTTCGTTGAGGGTACCAAGGGTCTCAAACAGGAAACATTTTTAGATGCTTTCATCCTGGAATTTCCCATTAAATCCCCAAGAGCTCTTTCCTTCCTTGTTTTCCCTGATACTTGGCTGATCTGGCCCTGCAAACCAAATCCACCAGACGTTTGGCTGATCTGCCCTTGTGAACCAAATGTACCTTGTCCGCCTGAGCTGCCATATGACTGGGCCATCAATCCTCCTTGGCCACCGTATCCACCTCCTTGTGTTTGGCAGGGATCAGGAACAGAGCAGGAACCTAGTAAGGAAACGCGCAATACAATTGTTTAAATTTCTGACTTTATCAGCATTTTTTTAAATTCATGCTTTTTTTGCTTTTAGACATTTTGTACAAGGAGACTGATTTGTTGCACTAACTATTAGATAGTTTGGTAAAAAAAAAAAAAAAAGTATCCTAATAGTTTTTGTTTTGTAATAAGTCCCTTAAAATTAACAACGTTCCATACCAGACTTCATGCTTGTTTGGCCGATGTTCTTGAATAACCGCAGTGAGTTGTTACATTAAATGTTTAATTTAAAGCCTTTAGATTTTATTTTCTGTACATTCTGTGTAATATTGTAAATTCTCATCTTAGACCTTTGTCATCAAAATATTTGGCCCAGTTGGAAGATGTTTTCCTCGCCTCCTGCTCTCATGATGGATCTAAAATGTATGTTGCTTGGTGACAATGGTGGAAAAATAGAGGGCTGAATTTCCTCAGCAGGAACACATATCACAATCAAAACTTGGCAGAGGATCTAACTGTTAAAATGTTGGATTCTCCCTTTGCACATTGCTATGCAGAGGGTCTGATTCATCCCCACATTATCCAAAACAAACAACAAATACATTTGTCATTACAATTAAGTTAAACTGTCATTGATGTCTTTTTGTTTGTACTGAAGGCACGGCAATTAATTTACCGTTTCTGTCAGGGATTATTTCGCTTTTTAATAGTTTTTTTTAGTGTTTTTTGGACCTCCATAAATAACACTTCTACTTCTTATTTTATTTTTTATGAATATGCCATGAATAGCATTTGGACTACATGGTCTGATTGAAGAGGAATTATACCTACATATGACATGGGGCCATAGTAAAATCATAGCCGTGGGGTACTATATGTGATATATAGCTTGCTTTTAGAACTTCGTCTTAGAAGCATTCACAATGTTGAGATCTGTGCCATTCTCAACAATAATAAGCATTGGAGAATACTAACTACTTTCATACCCACCTGATAAAGGTGCCTTAAAGCAACCCAGTCACTAACTTTCTTTCAGTGAGGTGCTTGCCTGCCTCCTCCAGTTAGCTACCCCTCTCAAGTCAGCTATCCACCTACCATCGTAAACCACAGCAAGGGACTCATAAGGCGGACCAAGCTGGACCAATGTAAGTATTCATAAAAAGTTATAAGTGGAGTTCAGCTTTAAATACATTATTTAAATACATTATTTAAATAGCTTCATTACATTATATAAGAGGAGCCAGAACAATTGCTTTAGCTGGAATGTTAATTTAATTGTAGAACTTTAAGACCATATTTAAAGTATATATAAAGGTAATCTTAAAAAGTAATCTTCAGTTTCATTAAAATAATATGTGGTGATCATTCAATGAAGGTCCTTGCTCAGGAACTCTCCTTTATGTGGTGACAACTATTTCCCAACTGAGCATCTGCACTGTTATTCTTTCACATGAACCCTTGATGAAGAATAGAGGCGGCTGTGGTGACACAGACTTGCACAGCCATGGTCCCCTGTTCCCACTAGTAGGACTAGATCTGAGCAATGATGCACAGCTGATGCTGGAGTGTAAATGCAGGATGCTGAATTAATTTTAAAAAAAAAAGCTTCTGAGACAAAATTTGTCCCAATTCTGTCTCTACAGGAGTGCAACCAACCCGCTTTTAATTTTTTATTTTCTAAGCTGTGTGAAAAAAATGCAAGGTAGAAGCTGCTTGATTGCTATGGGCATCCACGCCAGTTGAGATAGAAGTGTTCTCAGGCACATTTTTTTAAAATTCTACCACAGTATTGTAGCAAACTAAATGTCATCTAATTAGGGATTTACATCTACACTATGTTAGGATTTCAAATCTGCAGCATCCTTTTAAAACTGTTTTATTAGTGTGTTCTTGTCTTTTACAATTAGGTATTTACTTGAATGATGAAAACCTTTGGTGCAGAGCTTTTAGGCTTTGTATGATGAGCAGGTCTATATGTTGTATCCTAGGCTGATATGAATTATGACCTCCTTTTATATAGACTTCTCACCAACCATGTTATGTCATTATTGTGGACATAACAACTATGGTGTCCTGTTGGAAGCTCCACTTATTCAGCTTTACATTGATACATTCTATTCACTCCAATGAATCTGACTTGTTAGATTTATATGTATGTAACCAGATGTGACCAGACTGGGCAAAAATAAAATGATACATGCCTACTGTGAAAGTCCTGTTCATGGTGCTGGCCCTCCATCTCCGTTTCCCTAGTCAGTGCTTTTTTCTGTGCATTTGTCACACAAACACATGTGTCTTAAAATGTTGCTAAATACATTTAGTGATAAAAATATTCTACTCACTGTTTTTGTTTTGATTTCCTCCCTTAGCTGACATGGTTGTGCAGAGAGATGTCTTCTCAAGATGCTTTACTATTTGGTTTGGATGCTGTTTATATACAAAAGTCCTCTTATTCCCAAATTGTTCATCTGCATTCCAGATCCCTATGCTAGCCAATGGAATTCTTTTATGAGCAGTCATATGGGTGTTTCATTCAACTTTTTCTAGAGTTTGTGCTTTAAGGCTGGTAGTTATCGTAATTAAGACATTAAATTATATTCTATTTCTGAACTAGAATGATTGGTTTGGTGTGATTGATTTTGTTTTATGATGTGATTCATTTTCTAAGCAATTTATTTAGTATAGAAATTATCCCTGTGTCCTGTAAAGTGTTCTTTATACTTTTACAGTTAATAAATGGGGTAACTGTTTGAAATAAATTTAGAATATGATATATTTAGACTGATCTTGCATTTTAATGACATTTTGGAATACAATTGCCAGTAAATAAACCAATGAAGCATATAGAGGCTGCAATGCTAGAATAAAGGGCCGGCATTTATTGTATATTCTATTGTAGTAACAGTTTTATATATTAAGGAAGCATTAAATATGAAACTTTTTTCAATATTGAATACAGATCAAACAAATATACATTGAACAGAAAAGTATTTCTTTATGTTTTTGCCCAAGTATTTACATTCGTCATGTTTCCAAACAGCTGGCTCCTATTCTCTCTGCTCAGCAGCCGATAACTTCCTGTCCAATACAAGATCACAAGGGACAGCACAGTCTCCATCAACTATCCATCTACTAGCTTGGAGAATGAAGGTGGGAGGAAAGAGGAGTTGGGAACAGGAGGGAGGGGAATGGCTTGCCTTGCCATGCTTTTGTGTTTGTGGAGATAAACAGAGCTTACTAGCGCACACAAGTGGTTCCATAGGACCCTGCAAGGGAAAGGAGACACCCTAAAACAGGATATCAGGGCCAGGACGATGGGACTAGCTCCCTTAGGCCCAATTTACACCAGCCGCTGCACTAAATGCACAACAGCTGGTGTGAACTTCCTGGCACATCGCACTGTGTACTTTTTTTGGGTAGAACTTTATTGAAATGTCACAGGTGACATTTCATTCAGTTTTACAGGCACTGAGAGGTGTGAGGCGGTTGTTCCGTGTCGTATTCCTCTGTGCTGGAAAAAAGTACTGCATTCCCAGCGTTCTCAACACAACACAGTGATGTGAACTGAGCCTGTCTGCGACAAGCAAATTGCCTTGTCTTGCATTGAGGCTGTGCTGGAAACAAAGGCCAGCGCAGCCCCAACGCATATGTTATGAATCGGCACTTAAGGATCTTGTGGATGAGCTGGGTAAAAAGGAAGAGCAAATATTCATATTCATTCCTTACTTATTATTATTACTTATTCCATACACCTCACATGCAGCAGAGTACATTACTGGGCATCATGCTGGTAAACATGACACTCCTAGTGATACAATTGAAATTTCTCAGTGGTGATTCTTTCCTATTACAATGTTAAATTGGAAGGATTTCAGTTGCTTACACATAGATAATAAAATAAATGTAAATTTGTATTCTTATTTATTTTAAATCTAATTTTCTGTTAGTTGTGAGATGGTGGAGCTGCTTCTATTCAATAAAACACAGATATTTTTCTACAGCAGGATTGCGAGTAAATTATTACTTCTGGTTGGTGAGTAATGTTTTTTTCCCCATGATTAAGCTTCAATAGAAACTATGTAATCATATCTATGCATGTATAACTGTGATGACACATGTCAGCTGTTCACATTAAATAATAAATATGTCTGATTAGTTGATCATATCAATGTAAGGATCCGTCACCTGGATACAGGATAGATGTAGATGGGACATGAATGGCAGAGGGTGTTCCTAATCACCAGTTGAATGGTAAAGGTCTTTCATCAAGGAGGGTTACTCTGGGGTTACCCCAGAAATGTGTCAAAATATGGAGTGGGTGGCTAGATGCACCAGGAGTGGTCATGCTAGACCTTGCAATATTTTTAACAGAGTAAAGTTGTAATTTTATTATCAGCTAGAGTTTCATTCACTGGTTTTAAACATTGGGTAACTAAATGTACAGATTTGTATACTTCTGCTAGAAAGTTAATGTACCTATGTAGCTCTTTATAGTACTGACAGGTTGACTGCTGAAAGCCTTAGCGGTCTAGTAAACCCAACCAAACCGTTTAAATTAAAGGTGCAGTGAGCTGTAGGTCATTATAAGCCATAATAATTGACCTATGTACAGTTGTGTGAAAAAGTGTTGGCCCCTTCCTGATTTTTCATTGTTTTGCACGTTTGTCACACTTTAATGTTTAAGATCATCAAACAAATTTAAATATTAGTCAAAGATAACACAAGTAAACACAACATGCAGTTTTTAAAGTAAGGTTTTTATTATTAAGGGAAAACAAAATCCAAACCCACATGGCCCTGTGTGAAAAAGTGTTTGCCCCCTAAACCTAATAACTGGTTGGGCCACCCTTAGCAGCAAGAACTGCAATCAAGCATTTGCGATAACTGGCAATAAATCTGTTACAGCGCTGTGCAGGAATTTTGGTCCACTCATCTTTGCAGAATTGTTGTAATTCAGCCACATTGGAAGGTTTTCGGGCATGAACCGCCTTTTTAAGGTCATGCCACAGCA